TTATAATTTATTTACAAATTCGTCAATTTGACTCGGCATTTTTTGCATAGGTACAATACTTTTTCTCGGCACTGAAAGGGTTAATATTTTTTTTAATTCGACGTTTCTCTTTATTTTTTTTTAATTGTAACAATTCAGAGAAGAGTGTCATTATTCGATATTGGGCTCCAATGCGAACTATGCGAATGTAATAACGCCAAGACGTGAGAGCGTGTGCGAGAATGTAGATAATAATAATACCGATGGCAAAAGCAATTCTCTTGAGAATAAACAGGAGTCAGGACATTATTCGTCGAACTCCAAAGGAGTGTTTGCCCAGGTGAGTGTAAGAAAATATTGTCGCTCTTAATCGTACTATAACAACGTTTTCATATTACCTGTTAAGCGCGTCGTCTGCGTATTCTTAAATTCTCGTCACTTTAGAGCTTATAGCGATTAAGATACGCGGGAGTGTTAATAAATCGGTCATTAACTTTTTTTGTCGCAGTGCTTGGTATCAGGATCAGTTTTATTGCTGGCAGCCGGAGGAGGAATGCCAATTGGCTACAGTGCTATTTTATTACCGCAATTAGCCAAGGAGAATGGGACTATGCACGTTGATTCTGATCTCGGATCCTGGATCGGTACTCCATCAATTCAATTATAATTATTTAACCACCAGACTGCGGATTTTATGCAGTTCTAAGAAAACTATAAATGCAGAAGTCGTGAATAACGTATAAAACTTCGAAATTTTAGAAGCTAAACGTGTATTTCAAATAATAAACCATTTTTTAAACTGACATGCCATAAATACATTATTTTGCATAAAAATCCACAGTAATTTCATATTGAACCTTGATAATTAATTATTTCATCGAATGAAACGTTTTAAAATCTAATTGATTATAGTTGATTCTTCCAGCCTCGGTTCACAGCCTGGCAACCCCTATAGGCTCTTTAACTTCCGGTCCTCTGTTGGACGCCATCGGGAGACGCGGTTCCCTGCAATTCTCAGGTGTACCTCTATTCTTAGGATGGTTCTTCATGGGATTCGCCAGAAACATCCCTTGTCTCCTGGTGGGACGAATTATATTAGGGTTCGGCGTTGGTCTCATGGCTGTCCCATCTCAGGTACCACAGCAAAGACAGTTATATTATTTATAATTACTGCACTGGTGTTAAAATATATATAGAATGCACCAAATGTATAAAAATAAATATGAGCGTCGTTCAGAAATTAATACCATGTTTTATGAAGAATAATTATTGTACTAAAATATATGTTTCAATTGAAAACTGTTCTAGGTCCTCCTAGGTGAGATGTCGGATCCAAGACTACGTGGAACTATGACTGCAGGTGTCCTGGCTTTTTACTGTTTCGGTATACTCCTGGTCTATGGATTGGGAGCTTCTTTCAATTGGGACATCGTTGCGTTCTGCAGTGCTGCACTTCCCCTCGCAGCATTAATCTCTTTAATTTTGATACCCGAGAGCCCCGCTTGGCTGATTAAGAAAAAGAGATCTGAGAAAGCTAGGAAAGCTTTGCTATGGCTCAGAGGCGGGAACGAGAAGCAGGTAAAAATTCGTGGACGATGTTTGTTATTAAAAATAATTCTCGTTTTCCTTCAGGTAGAAAGTGAGATGTTAATAATGGAAGCTAGAGAGAAAGCAGATCAAGCTCGAACAGCTATAAACTTATCCTTTTGCGAACGAATCACGTCTGCGATTACGACACTCGGTGATCCGAGTGTCTTTAAACCATTAATGATAATCAATATCTTTAATGTTTTTCAATTAATGAGCGGGACGTATATCGTCGTCTTCTATGCTGTAGACATCGTTCACGATACCTGTAAGTATAATCTTAGCAATTTATCTAATCTTACTTATTCATCTGTTAAAAATTTTTTAAATCTAAAATCAAATAATGCTAACAAATGTTAATTTATCATTAACCATTATTAATTAATTAAACAGGCGGTGATAGTATAAACACGTACTTAGCAGCTGTGATCACAGCAGCTATTAGACTCCTATTCAGTTCAGTTTCGAGTGTTCTGTTATTGAAAATGGGCAGGAGGAGTGTAGGTCTGCTTTCAGCTCTTGGAACTTCAATTACTTCGTTAACTCTCGCGGTGTACATGATGATTAACGATGAATCTTCTATGGACGTGAGTTATATTCAATTTCTTTTTCTTTTTTACTTACAGACAATGGATCGAATATTTGTTTATTCCGAGTACAATTAATTTTTATCAATGTCTGTTTAATCAATTGCCTCGTAAATTATTTATTTTGTAACATATTTGCAGATTTACGTCGTTGGAATGTTTTTACTGTTGTACGTGGCCATTAGTACTATGGGATTAATGATGCTGCCAGGATTAATGATGGCAGAATTGCTGCCGTTGAGAGCTCGGGGAATCGGGGGTGGTTCCAATTTTTTCCTTTTCAATTTTTTCATCTTCGTGAGCACGAAACTTTTCCCTACGGTACGTGAGAATAACAAAATATGTATTAATTGTAAGAGTAAGCTTCGTTAATAGTAGTGAAATAAAAATATTAAATATTTCTCTGTAAATAAAACATAGGTGAAAGATGCGATAGGGATTATTGGAGTTTTCTCGATTTTTGGAACATCTGCCTTTTTAGAAGCGATCTTCATTTACTTGGTTCTACCGGAAACGAAAAATTGTACTTTACAGGAAATCGAAGATTACTTTCAGGTACGTACATTTTAAAAAATCTACGAATTACTA